GCTCGATGGTGAACACGTTGTCAATCACGTTCGTGTCAGTGATAAAACGAGTGCAGTCGCTGACCTTCACACCCAGGAATCATCAGAGACGACCCAGTGGTGTCACGCAGCCGAGCCGCCGGGCCCGGCCGACATCTTCAGCAGAGGCGGCCCGGGGACGGACCTCGCCCCCGGCGGACCGTGGATACGAGGTCCAGCTGCGCGGTCCGGCCCGGCCGCCCTCTCCGACGACGAGACGAGGGTGACAGCGTGCGTCACCGAGCGAGCGGAGCCGGTCGTAAACGGCAGTGACTTCTCGTCCTGCCTCATGGACTCCGGCGGCCTGCTCAGAGTCGGTGGCCGTCGCTGGAAGCGGAAGAACACGCAGCCGCAGGATCGCCCCTGGCGACGCCGGCGGCGAGAGTGTCTCCCCGCGCACGCCGACCGCACACTGCATGTCGATCATGGACACGACCGAGGTCAAGGTTGGCGAACTAGTGCGACTGACCGACGTAAACGTACCGTGTGGACACCGGCCGATGGGACGAGCGGAGTGTATGACCCCGGTGTAGGCGGTCGTATCCGCGCCGTGGATGCGACGACTGCCACTGGTCGTTACAGGCGGCCAGTCTCTCGTCTCTACCGTCTCGAGTGCGACGGCGACGAACAGTAAACGGACTCGGAGAGATAATGTGCGGCACGGGGGACGGCTAAAGTGAGTCGTCTACGACCGCACTGTGCCGCCGGCGAGCAGTGTGGAGATCGGAGCGTTTATTAGTGTTCTCTGCGCCCATCATTCGCGGTGCTAACGTGTGTGTGTGCGTGAGAGAGTGAGCCGCTCATTCTGTCCGCTGCGAATGGTCATTTGTGTTGAGTTTTCAGCCATTGGCTATCAGCTGTGAGCCGTGTGACAGTTCTTGGACGCGCTAGTAGTTTACGACCTTAGAGTGTGACATAGCAGTGTTAGATTAATTTATGATGCGCACCGTGTTAGCGCTATTGTACGTCCGCGTTTGTTCGCTTCGCCGCTTCGGTAACGTAATGTGATGTGTGTTGAACGTTGTGCGATGGGCGTTAGTGTGTCGACAATGTGACGGCACTGTCACTGCCGCCAGTGCCTCTCGAGCGAGTGTTCGTAGTTAACGACATGCGTCAGTGCGTGACAGTGACCGGCGGCCGGGACCGCGCCGTCGTATAGTTTTACGACTGGGCGCGTGATTGTTGTCAGGAATGACCTCCGCCCCGGCCAGACTCTGTGTAGTGCGTAATGCGTATTGTATGTGAGTGTATGCATATTGCGCACGGTGTACGGATCGTTGCGAGTGTGTGCGTGCGTACGAGACGCTTGAACGATTGCTCGCTAGTGGTTGGATTTTCCGCGGATGATCGCGAAAAACCGGGCCGGCTATGTTAGCGAGCAAATAGGCATTTTGGATACCTTCGCAAAGACGGCCGGCGCTCGGAGCGCGGCGGTCGGTCCGCCGCGCCACGCCGCTCACATATGTGTCATCTGGCCCCTGTCCTGGTTCTCATGCCCACGTGTTGTGCGTACCACGAGGGCTGAGACGGGACGGGGGCCTGACAGTCTTCGACGGGACTCCACCGGTGCGCGACGGCCCGGTGCACGACGTGGCCGACGTGGCCTTACGTACGACGCGGCCGACGTGGCCCTACGAGAACAATTCAGTGAACCGCATTTGTGACCGCCGTATTTTGTGCATTTTAACCGTTTCCGTTTCATTCAAGAATAGACTTTTCATATATGAACAATAACTTTATGGTCCTCCGGGTGACGAGAGAGAACGAGTACGAAAGCGAGTGAACGATCACGAGCACGCACGAGCATTTCCGTATCGAACGGGTGAACTGAACGATTCTCGCGAACACCAACTTTCTGATTAATCAGATGCCTAAATGCCAGGCTGCGTCACCCTGTTTGGTCAAAAATATAACTTGAAATTTATCGGACATAGCTGACCTTCAAGGTTTGATCTCGAAATACGCAGTGCAACAGTAGCAGCGGAACACCTTCAATTAAGGGAGGGGGGGGGGCACTGCCGACTTTTGGTCTCATTCTTTCTAATGAGAGGCTAATGTTAAAATGGCAGTCACAGGGGGGGGGGCACGATGCCCCAGTGCTCCCCCCGTTCCGCCACCTATGCAGTGCAAGGCTGATATCCGCAGCCTCCCTTCACCAAACATTTGCGGGTGGTCAAACCACTAAATAAAGCTCTATGTTATGCTTATTATCCCCGCCGGCACACACCATTTTGCAACCTCGCGTTTGGCTCCTGATCGAGCTAGAGCTTCGCGGAAAAAGCGAGCGTGTTTCCCGTCACGAGAGAAAGCCGATGATACCCAATTTTAAGGTCCTAAGTCATCGGTTGACCTTCTAGGTCAGGTCAATGACCCAAAAGTCGGTAAAATCGGGACCTGTTAGAAAGTCGTAAAGTGTGGCTGCTATGTGGTTTTCCGGGGTGCTGATCACGAATATCGTGTTAGTTTTGATCATAGATGATGTCTTTAACCCTATTCCTGGCGGGCTCCGCCGGGACAAGAAACTGGCGGGGGGGGGGGGCCGATTCGGCCCCCCCCCCTGAGATCTCGAGAACGAAGCAAGATAGCGACAAGCGGTAAACGGCATCGGATACGCACGGCCAAGATCTACAATTTTTACTAAGGTCATTTTCAGGTCAGGTCAAAGATGACGTCACAGGGGTCGAAAAAGTCAAAATGGCGGCGCTAGATATGGAGAGAGTTTTTCTCGAATAACTTTCGAATTAGTCAAGATAGGAACAAACTAAGGGCATCATCGTGATCCTCTCGTCAATCCGCATCGAATGATATATATGTTGACCTCGAAAGGTCAAGGTCAAAGGTTGACCTCAGGTCACGTGACCTCGAGGTCATCATGTATATCATTCGATGCGTCTTGACGAGCTGAACACAATGAGACCATCCACGCGTCTGTATCTTGTTCCTGTACGGAGTTATTGGCCAAAAACCTTTGGTGACTTTTGATGACGTCACATGACCTCACAGCTGCCCAACAGCAAAACAGACCTCAAGGTAGTGAAGGTTGATCGTATATGAAGTCATGTATGGTATATGGGGCCATTCCGACCCGTTTTAGTGGTAAAAACAGGGAGTTGATTTTTCCCCCATTGACTTATAATGGGGAGGTCGCGAAATTGACCTGACCTTAGGTCACCGATATCAAAATTCCGAGATATACAAATTGCACATACTGGTACCCTAACTAAACCCTGAAGAGAAGAAATTGATCGGTCAAAAACTCTAGCTCTGGCGTGATTGCAAACTTTTCTGAGGTAGGGTCACCAAACCGCCTCTGGTGACCTGACCTGAGGTCAGATCAACTCAAAATTTTCAGACCTGTTGCGTAGAAGCCTTTTAGGAAAAGTCAGAAAATTTGAGCTTCCTAGCTCAACGCGTTTGGGAGAAATAACCAAAAAACCTCAGGGGGGGGGGGCTCCTGAGGCCCCCCGCCAGGAATAGGGTTAAGCATTTAGACCAGTTCCGGTCAGGTCAGGTCAGGTCAACCGGTAGGGGTTGTGACGGGTATTCGTAATACGTGTCAACCGCCTCGGACAGCTTCGTAACATGTTACGAAGGCACCAAAACTACTTCGTAAATGTTCAAATGGTTGCTAAATTCGAATTCAGCTCCAAAAACTAGCCTAGAAACATGTAAAACTCGAAAAAGTGAACCGAGGTCACCCGAGGTCACCAAAGGTCAATGACCTGACCTGACTTTCAGGTGACCTTGACACCCACCCTAATGCATGGGAGCAACATCAAATCACATGTTTGAACGTTTGAAACCACGAAAAGCTTGCAAACGCGCGGATAATGCGGGCCGACATGCGCCGAACCGCGATTTCGGCCAAACATGGTCACAGAAAAGAGGTCACAGGTCAAAGGTCATTGGGGTCAGGGTCATGAAATTTTCAGGGTAGGTGTAAAATTGATCAATGCGATGGTACTGAAAGTTTCGTCGCGATCGGCCGCTTTTTACGCGAGTTATTCGCGAAAAACCTTAGGGGGGGTTGCATCAATCCCCCCCCCCTGTGCCGGCGAGGGTTAAGAGAGATCAAGGTAGATACCAGCTACGAGTATTGTTCTCATTGTCGAGAAAAGAATATGAAACATGGCACCGGCCCATACCTCCCGGGCCATGGCCCATACCTCCCGGTGTATTTTGGTGGATCGAAAAAGCGCATGATTTGTTGAAAGCTATCTCGAGACAAAATAGTCGGTCCCAGGTGCCTAATATGAGGCACACTTTGCAGAAGAAAGGCAATTTCACGTACACAGAGTGAAAAACCGAGTCTAGACACTGCCCACTGGAAGAAAATTGCCTTTTCACAAAACCGGCCCATACCTCCCGGGTCTCCCCTACATGCCTATTGCATTTACTGATTGACACTTTTTGTTACTTGTGATGATCGAATGGCTCTCAAGTTTCAGCAGCGTTTTGATAATCCTGTATGAACAATTTATGATGAATTATTCTAATGTTAATAATTCCAAGGTAAAATCAAGACACCAAAGAATAACGAGAGGCTTTCAGCAGTGCCACTTTTTCTTTTAGGTAAGTAGGTAAGTACTGCAAAGTTGCAGTGGTGAGTGGTGACTTTGCACATTCTGTTATCCGTGATTGATAGACGTTCATTTTGGAATACTTTATATAAAGATAAAAATACAAAGTATTCGATACCCGGATCTCGCTCGTCATGCCCATCACCTTTCTGTCCTGCACCGATCACCATCCACCAAGGGGGTCTATCGCACCGGGGACAGCTCGGTCGGTTAGCCACGCACCCGGCCCGGCGGCTGGCCGGCAGCCGCCGCGCGGCGCGGTAAAGCACGCCCTCCCGGCAGCGCGCTGGCCCCGCCCCGGGCCGCCAGCAGCCAATGAACGGGCGTCGTGCCGGGCGCCGGCAGCAGCGCGAAGTGTGATTTGATCCCGGCTTGGGGCGCCCGGCGGGCGGATTAGCCACGGTGCCGGTGGGGGTGTGAGGTGCGACCCAGCCGCCACTGTGAGCCGAAATGGGTGACTGGAGCGGTCTGAGCCCGCGCGCCAGGGCGTTTTCCGTGGCGGCACTACTGCAGCTCTCGGAAGCTGCCGGTCACGCAGGCCGAGCGTCTCGGCGATCAGAGACGACTGAAAACGATGGCAGTTCAGGTGAGCCAGCGATCATAGAGTGTCCTATTTGATTAGCTGTTGTTTAAAGCTGACACAGGGGCGCGGGAACTACTTTCCGACTGTGGGGGCACACCATAATAGAGATTAACCTAGGGTACCCCCAAATCTAGTTTTCTCACCGGTTTTAGGCCACTTATTTTTCACCCCTCGGCTTTTTCAACAAAAAAAGAAAACATTTGCAAAAAAAAGTGTGGTAATCCGTCTCAAAGCTGTGGGGGCACCGCCCCCACGGCCCCAGAGTTGGGGGGGCAAGCTGCCCCCACTGCCCCCCCGGCTCCCGCGCCTATGAGCTGACAAATGATGTAAACCGACTGATGGCAGCTAAAAAGCGTCTGGTGTTTATTTGAGGAAGATAAAAATGACAGCTGACCGTTCAAAAGTGCCCAATATGATATCTATAAAACGAATGTGACCAAGGAACATCTACATATTGTTCGAACGCAAGTGAACTTGTATATTTGTATATTTTGAATGTAATTTGGAATGCAAGTAGGTACCTAAAAGGCTTAAGATGCACAAACGACTTTCACCGGACCTATTAAATTTCTATATACCGGGGGTAGGTGGGTACGATCCCCCCCCCCCCACCGTTTCGCCCGTAATTGAGTTAGAGACTCGCAGAAAAACACACGTGTGCATCTTTACGAGACGCAGCGAGTAGTGCCCAGTTTTAGGGTCTCGGGTCAACCGGCGGTGACCCCTGAGGCCGGGTCAAGTGTCAAAAGATACGGGTTCGGTTACTGGTAAAGAATTTCGCCAAAAATGGTCGCAGAGCCATTAATTCGACACCATTGTATTTTTCTAGTTCAGGCGCGACGATTGATAACGTTTTGATTCGATAGGGTTAAGTTAAGTTCTTGACCTCGGGTCAAGGTCAGAGCCACTCATGTCACGAAACTAGCCAAAGGGGTTCATAACGCATATCATCTGATTTTGCAGGATTCTTGAGTCCATTAGCCCTCGCCCGCACATGGGGGGGGTGGTTGCCACCCCCCAGGTAGTCTTTCTGCTCTGCACTCAACATTTTTAGAGTTAGAAGGCTGATTTTTCGTATAACTGCTCCTCTATCCTTTCTTGATGTCCACTGAAAATTTCAAGTTTCTGTGATTTTTGGTTTCGGAGATATGACCCTATTTTTCAGGTCATGTCATGACCCAAATGGTCAATTCTCAACATCTTGCGTTTGCCATGGGCCTTATGAGCTTTTGACACCCTGATTTCGGCCTTTTTTGCCAGTCTTACTTCCTACCTATCATGGAACATGTTGTTTGATGATGTAAAGGGGTCAAGGTCAGGGTCAAGGTCAACCTAGGTCACCTAAGATAATTGCGTTTTAGGCAAGCTGAATTTACTTTTTTTGAAGTTTTTTGACTGCATTTTTGGTAAAAGCTTCTCAGATCATGATTTCATGTAATATGGACCCAAAAACAATCGGTGCACACATCAGTATACACACAGACACACACAGACATACAAACACATATAATTGACCTTGACCTAACTTGACCTGAAATGACCTCAGCAGCAAAATTCTGGTCGGGTAGTGTGACAAAGAGGTTCTAGCTGGCTTGGCACCAGAAAACAGCATCGTCATCGGTATTTGATAAGCAGCACACTTGATATCCAACGGTGACCCAAAACAGCAACATTTTTTAGTTTGACCTGACCTGGAAGGTCAATGACTGACCTGAGAAGGTAAAACTGCGTATCATTGGATTCGTCTCTTCCCAAAAAATCTTTTTGGTCTTTACTGCTAAGCTCTATCTCCAACAGGAACGAAATGGCGCGGGGGGGGTGGCAACCACCCCCCCCCCCATGTGCGTTCTAGGATGGGAAAATGGCATGTGCGGGCGAGGGTTAGTGGCTTTTCCGACTTGCTAGCCGTATTTGGTCGGGAGTTATTGACCAAAAACTTCTATGAACTTAGTGACGTCATAAACGATGTCATGCAAGGTCAGCGATGCAAAAGTGAAGCATCGGACCTTGTAAGGAGTGCATGAAATCCCGATGTCATGTGCTTCAGTTAGTTTTAGATCATTCCCAATGCAAAAATATAGTTTCCATATTTTCTCCGATTTTCTCCATTGACTTATATTGGTGAGGTTACGTGAACGACCTGACCTCAGGTGAGCTTCAGGAAAAATCCGAGATAATTAAGCTGTGAGACCTCTGGAGCAGTAGCGACGGAACACCTTCAATTTAGGGGGGGGGGGGGCGCTGCCGACTTCTGGTCTCATTCTTTCCATGCAACGCCCATAGGACTAATATTAAAATACCCAAATCAAAGGGGGCACGGTGCCCGGTGCCCTCCCCGTTCCGCCCCCTATGTTCTGGAGATGTTAGGTCCTATAAGCTTCATCTCTCCATGAAAGTTTCCCTGGCATTGCAATTGAGGGCGTTGCGAAGTTGCGACATTTTAGGACCGTGCAGAGGTTCATTTATGAAGTCATAAATAAGCCAGTGACCTGACCTGACCTGAACATGCGGTTAATATCGTAAATTCCAACTTGAATCAAGAGTCATGTATGTAAATTGTCAGCTCTCTGTCCCCAGCGTGTTCCGAGCAAGTGCGAAAAAACGTATAGGGGCAGCACCCCTTCCCTTCGGCCGCGAGGGGAAGGACCACAACTACAAACGTTAGTGCAATAGCAAATTTTGATGGGCTTTCTCATTCCTAGCCAGAGGTGGAGATATCGGGGGGGGGGGTCGGGAGTCAGGACCCCCCTGAAAACGAATTACTGCTATGTTAGTCAATGGTACTGCATCCAGCCCGCCTCCATCTGCCCAGCCTGGACCCCCCCCCCTGAAATTTTGACAGATCTCCACTGATTTATTTCACGCTTATATCGTATCACTTGTCGGAAGTTGGAACATGGAGTTACCAGTGCAGTAGCAGGAGCCTGGGAGTTGGTTTGAGTCGCTACTGAACCCCGTACGGCTGGAACAGACATGAAATGACTATGAAATGGCACGGCTGTCATGAAATGGCTATTCCAATTTCCAATATATTATAAATCGCTTGCATCAAGCGCGTGCACCTCAGTGCCTGCAACTTTTTTTTCATATAAAGCGGCTGAAATGACCGTGCACGCCACTGTAATTCACCCTCACGTATTGAAAACGTACAAAATAATTGCACCCGAACTTTACATGAATCCAGAACGCAACTGGCACGCCGACAGGATGTCAATTGAGCAATTTAAGAGTAACAGCGAATATGCTCATTCTGAGTCTGGTTCTCGAACACGACGAGACCGACTGCTTTCAAATGTTTCTTTTAAAGTGGCATCCCACCTTTACTTTGAGTTGAAATTGCCAGCTTGAGTTCCCTGGCTCGGGCTGGGCACAGGCAATTTCGATAAGTGCCTTAATTCGGTAATATTTGATATCAGAGTCTGTAGCACATACTAAGGGGTTAGCACATTTGAATGGCCTCTTATACATTTGGACGGAATCGCAGAATTAACGTATTTCAAACCTTTTACTAAAACAACTTTGGTTAAAAAGATGGACAATAGGTATAGCTCTACATGGCTATACAATAAAGGTAAACGCAGCACACGTGCGATATCCTTCGCACTTTACGGGATTCCAAACTATTGCTTTCAAATTCAAGTTTGCGCAAAGGAAAGCATTTATGACGCCATATGAACTTGATAAATAATACAGAACAGACCGAAAATAATAAAGCCTTACGTCATCAAGGCTTAAGTGTCTTCGAGCTTACTTAATTACGCTCGATAACAGTTTTTAAGTTTTCATGGGAAAGCTTTGCTTTTTTACGTTTCTCATGAACAGCTAAGCATTTTATCTGCTGTTTTGTTTTTGTGAATGGAATAGCCATTTTTGATTAGCGAATAACAAAATGGCCACCGGAGTGGCTTATTTTAACAACCGCAAAAAGAGCTATGGCACGCGCAGTTGAACGGGGTGCAGGGGCGAATTTCGCCAACTTCTCCTGTTTTTCGCAAATGAACCATGCCGTAATATTCTATTGACGTTTAAGTTTCAGTACCTGCCTAAAATTAAACTGCACATTTTACCGTGAAAGCGATAACTAAATCGGTCCACAACTTTTCTACTAACACGGGTGTACCGTGTAAAGTCAAACATTTTGCCCGCAGAAGCGCGTCGGCCGGCGCCGGCTGCTACTCGCCGCCTGGCTGATAGACTGTGCAGGTGCCGGACGGTTCCGTCCTGCCAGTCCCGCTGCCAGTACCGCTTCGCGTCAAAATATCTGTGAAGGCTTAGAAATGTAGTGTAAAGGTAATGTTATGGTCACATATATGCGAAAATCAGCCGGTAGAATTGTGGGTTACGACTTACGAGGATGATAAACATAAAAATGTGTCTGAACGGCTTCCCGCGTTGGCTGATCCCCACCTCAACCGGAGGGCATTTTACTCTTAGCCAGGGGCGGCGCCACGGGTTTTCGATAGGGGGGGGGGGGCGGGGACCGAAAATCGAAAATCCCAAAAGTAGATACTGATCGTGTATGCAAAAAAAAAACGAGGCACGTAACGCCGCGAAACTTGGCAAGGCCCAAAACACATCGAATGGTGCATCCCGTTTCCAAACTTATCCTAGGACACCTAAGATCGATCACCTTTTCAAGCATCCTTGCCTCTTAATCAAAATTTGCAGTCTTGCCAACTCAAAGCTGGTTTCCTACAAGCTGCGAATTGCTTAGGTATGAGTAGCAGTGCTAGCTATTCTTACGTTTCGTACTTTCAAATTTTCGATCTTACGTCTGGTCAGCTTCAGGGCTTCACCATCATATAGTCATGGAGGAAAAGTGGGAATGTCTTCTGCTCTGACAAGTGCGCCAAAACTGCAATATAATTTCAGAATCATGACATCACCACCTGATCCATATGCAACGGGCAGGGTGCAGCTAATGGCTAGCCGTCAGTGGTCATGTCATCGGTGGTCACTCAAAAGGCCATGCTAGGTCATGGAAGGTCACCAGCCGTTTTTTT